CTGTGTTAATTTAGCATTCAGGAGAGAGCAGAGCACGTCTCTGCTAATAGAAGCTAACCATTAGCATTAGCTAATCCTCAGTATGGTAAAACAGGTTCAGGCTTTTGTTATTTGTGCAGGTAACACATCAACATTGCATTTTTATCCAAGAAAGATAAACGAATAAAGATAAAGTCAAATTGCTTTTAGCCATTTAGAGGTCAGATGTTTGCATGTCATGAACATTAATACTGTAAGTAAGACTCCAAATCCTGTTATTTTACACCCCCTGTTCTTCTAACAAACTTCAACCCCCTGAAAAAGGAGTGCGAGAGCTTTTGATCACTGAAAACAACACATAAAGCATTCATTCATTTTAGAGATGACAGCAAATCTATTGAAAAATGAGTCTGTGACTCCTTTTTAAAAATATGGCTTTCTTATAATCTAGGTAGTCGCACCAGTCATGTTTCTCCCTCTTTTTGTCGTGATTTTGCATGCATGTTTCAGCATGCTCTGCCAAAACAGTCACATTAATCTTGCAGAGTTTGATTTAAGACTCAATCAGGCTTAAAACATATGCAAAAGCTGTTAGTTGTTGTGACATGAATCTAAAACTCCAATTGGAATGAATGTCAGATTAAGGGGCTGCAGTTTATCCACCAATCACGTGGGGAACCTTGCTGAGTCGGTGCCCAACGGTTAGGATATGGATTTATTTGATCAGTCAGAGCATTTATTACGTCAAATAAATCAGAGTAGTTTTCCCTTTAAAAAATCAGAAGGAATTTATTTGTAAAATTTTACAACATAACATTTTGTGTCAAATCTTTTCTTGACTGTTTGCTTGCGTTAATTAGTAGTGCTTTACTGTAAAATGACAGTGTCACTCTAATATGACCACTTTTTCCAGTAACGACTTACAAGTTACTATTTCCATATCAGTAATTTAATTAAAGTTACTTGTCCAAGACACTATGCATTACTGTTTTTGTGATTTGAGAAAGATATCAAGCCAAAACCAGTGCTGGGAATAGCAACACACCTGTAGCAAACAAAAGCACATACTGTATCCAGAACAAGCAGCATACGATTCTACTAAATGACCGAACGACATTGCGGTCTCATTCCTTGGAATGGAACTCTTATGCATGGTGCACAATTAATACCAACAGAATTAGCACATTTGGAACAGTGAACAAAACATTAACAACATCCAACACAACACTGGAAAAAAAAACCCCAACTAAACACACCAAAATAGAGCAAACATCTGGAAATCGGGCCACCCACAATGCACCTCGCTCCCCTGCTTGTTCCGCAGTCATTAAAATATTGTACTGATCCCGCCCACTGTGGAACAAGCAACAGGCGAGGTGCATTGTGGGTAGCCGGCTTTTAGTTGTTTTGTCCTATTTTGATGTGTTTTTGGGTGTTTCATTGCTAGGCTTCTTTTGACTGTTGTTTGAGTCATGTTCAATAGGGAGCCTAAGTCACGCCCATCTACTTCCGGACCACAGGTACCCAGAAGAATGAAAAAATGCAAGTCATGCTAAATGCTTTTTTTTTTTTTATTCCGCATGTTATGTGCCATGGATTTCACAAACGATGTCCATGAATTCTAAAGATGCATTTTGATACCAAGAAAGCGCTTATTTTCGAACGGGGGAAATGCTATTTTAGGTTTTGTGCGTAGTCCAGGACTACAAATGTGCTTCACCAAACGTCATCAAACCAGACACGGAGAAAAATAGAGGGAAAAAAGGCTGTAAGTTTAGCAAACCTAAAATCATTTGTTCAGGAGGAAAGAACCACCATAAATCTGGCCATTTGGTAAGTAGCAGCTATGCTAGGGCAGAGGAAATTCTGTGGTGATGTAATTTATTCGATGTACTGATGTCTGATTTGTAGTCATGCTAATTACAAACTTTTTGACCATAGCTAACCACAGCAAAGTCGGAAGGCAGGAACCCCCAGAGAACAGTCCAGAACTCCAGAATAATCTAGAAATCCAGACCAGGAGGGAAGCAGATGCCAGAAGATGGTAGGAGAAGGCAGCGATATCTTCTCAGGCAATGAGGACATCTGGTGGAACTCAGCAAATCATCAAAAACACACACAGAGCATTAGACCATAGACCTTCACAGATGGCGTCTGATGGAAAAGAATAAAGAAAAAAAAACACCAACTAGGACTATTTGTACGCTATATATACTATGTATATGGAGACTATGTAAAAATGACATTACTTTAAATAGAAGTACAACATATTTGCAATCAAGGACGTAAGGCAAAGTGTATTAGAAAATAACTCTTTTAGCCCCTTTGACTTGTATTTACTATTTTTTGCTCTTCCGGGAACCCATGAGCCGACCGGAAATGGAGAAGACTGAGGCTCTCTATGTTCTGATGGTGCGATTTTTGCACACGCCCGATCTCCGTTTAAAAAAATGTGATCTGCAAATTCTGATCAATGCCTTTCAGAGTGGATCAAACCAGCTGGCTGTCGCTGCTACTATGGAGCCTGTAGAGACGCTGAATGGAGCGTTGCTTCGCCCCTCCCTTCTCTCACACTGCCGGCACGCAGTGGCAAAAATGTAAACAAGCACGTCTGCTGAACTTTTCCTGTGACAATTGATGAAAAGTTTTCATCCTAAAATGAGAAATACGGCGCAGATGAAGCTAGTTAGAAGTTTTAGAGTACGAGGTGAGTTTTTACGGCTCGTTGCAGAAATGCATCAACAGTCAAACACAACACTTGTCTGTATGAGCGTGACACTCATAGCTGTGCAATTAACCTGTGAAATAATGAAAGACATCATGCTAGATCAGCAGCTTGTGATGACACCTGGTTCTGCTCATTATAGGAGCAGCTTTAATTAAATAAATAAATATAATAACGTGGCTCTGCAATATCGCATGGACATCGGGGGCAGTCCCACTGGACTGGCAGACCGGGGTGGTGGTCCTCTTATTTAAAAAGGGGGGTCGCAGGGTGTGTTCCAATTACAGGGGGATCACACTCCTGAGCCTTCCTGGTAATGTCTGTTCAGGGGTTCTGGAGAGGAGGGTCCGTCGGATTGTTGAACCTCAGATTCAGGAGGAGCAATGTGGTTTTCATCCTGGCCGCGGAACACTGGACCAGCTCTATACCCTTAGGGGGAGGCTTAGGAGGCTGAGTGGGAATTTGCCCAACCAGTCTAAATGTGTTTTGTGGATTTGGAGAAGGCGTTTGACCACGTCCCTCGGGGGGCCGTGTGGGGGGTACTCCAGGAGTATGGGGTACCAGGCCCTCTGATACGGGCTGTTAGGTCCCCCCTGTATGACCGGTGTCAGAGCTTGGTCCGCATTGCCGGCAGTAAGTCGGGCTCGTTCCCAGTGAGAGTTGGACTCCGCCAAAGCTGCCCTTTGTCACAGATTCTGTTCATAACCTTTATGGACAGGATAGGTGCAGCCAAGGTGTGGAGGGCATCCGTTTTGGTGGCCTGAGGATCAGGTCTCTGCTTTTTGCAGATGATGTGGTCCTGTTGGCTTCATCAGAACGTGATCTTCAGCTGTCGCTGGAGCAGTTCACAGCCAAGTGTGAAACAGCTGGGATGAGAATCAGCTCCTCTAAATCCGAGACCATGGTCTTGATTCGGAAAAGGGTAGAATGCCTTCTCCGGGTCAGGGATGAGGTCCTGCCCCAAGTGGAGGAGTTTAAGTATCTCGGGGTCTTGTTCACGAGTGAGGGAAAACTGGAGCATGAGATCGATAGGCAGATTGGTGCTGCATCTGCAGTGATGCGGTCATTGTACCGGTCTGTCGTGGTGAAAAGAGAGCTGAGTCAGAAGGTGAAGCTCTGGATTTACCGGTCGATCTACGTTCCTACCCTCACCTATGGTCAGGAGCTTTGGGTAGTGACTGAAAAAACGAGATCGCGAATACAAGCGGCCGAAATGAGTTTTCTCCGAAAGAGTGGCTGGGCTCTCTCTTAGAGATAGGGTGAGAAGCTCGGTCATTTGGGAGGGGCTCGGAGTAGACCTGCTGCTCCTCCACATCGAGAGGAGCCAGTTGAGGTAGCTCGGGCATCTGGTTAGGATGCCTCCTGGACGGCTCCCTGGTGGGGTTTTCTGGGCACGTCCAACCGGGAGGAGACCTAAAGGTAGACCCAGGACACGGTGGAGGGACTATGTCTCTCACCTGGCCAGGGAACGCCTTGGGATTCCCCCGGAGGAGCTGGCCCAAGTGGCTGGGGAGAGGGAAGTCTGGGCCTCTTGCCTTAGGCTACTGCCCCCGCGACCCGACTCCGAATAAGCGGATGAAAATGGATGGATGGATGGACTATAATAATAATATACTGAAAATTAATTGAACCAAGCTCTTCTAAATACTGAACCGAACCAAAAACAGTTTTAGCGTATTGTTACATTCCTAGTAGTCAGTAATCAAATTACTATTTTAAGGTAACTGTGGTAACACTGTTTGAAACATAGCGATGCAGTTTTAGAATTTAATGTTTGCTACATGAGCAGCAGTAGCCTATGTAAAGGAAACACTGGTAAGGCTGGAGAGTTGTGAGAATGAAGCTTAAATTGGGTATTTTTATAGAATTTAGATATTAAAATGATTTACCACTTCAATCTAACCTGAATCTTACTGCACAAGATCGGCTTATTCTAAATTTATTACTGCTTCAAAGGACTTAATAAAACTTTTACTGCGGTAGCATTAAAATTGTATAAGATTATAAAATCAGCCTTCACACAATAGGCAGCCTTCATACTTTGCATTATCTTTGAAACCTGGTTTGAACTTTTTAATACGTTTTTAAGAAATTAGCTGAGCCATTTCATGTCAGCGCACAAAGCTGTTGCTCAGGATCTAAACTGGCTGCAGGAGGAACTCTCAATTTAGTGATCTGTTCTCGCAAATGTGTTGATAAAGAGTGGAAACTGACAAGGCAGAAAATCTGCATGACTTTATCAAAGCCTCAAAGTGCTTGGCAGGATTTATATTCATCTGTGGTTCTTGTCTTTCAGGTGGGAGGGATGAGCAGGAGGGTCTTGCTGCTGTCAGAAGGATTTGTGAAGAGCACAAGGAGGCCAAAGGTACTAATGCAAACAGATTAACCACCTACACAAACACATAGATGCTTTGTGCAGAAGTGGGCTTGTTTTAGCATCTTTTTTTTTTTAAAGGTAAAGCTGGATTGGTCTGTTTTAGCTGTCAACAGACACATTTTCAGGCATGCACACTTATTCTGAGAGTGTCCTTGATGCAGGATGAGTAGCACAAGGGCTAAAGCTGTGGAAGGGAAACAGAGGGATGGTAATGAAAATCCCACATCTTCAGCCAGACACCCTTTATCATTTAGCTGCTGCCTACACACAACGTCCCTGAGTGACCCACGGCGTCAGATCCTGAACCTTCCATCTGCGACCTCGGCTAATCACGCCGATGTGTTCTACCACATTGAAGAATAAATTAAATGATTTTTAGGTATAGAGAAAAAGTGTAATGTTGCAGAGGTGACGGGGAGAAGCCGTCACAGTAAAAGATACATGGACAGAAAAAAAAGTGGGATGAGAATGGAGATGATGGAGATAAGAAGAGACAAATGATAGTTGAAATTTATCATTTAATCGACTAAAATTGTCTGTAACTCCAGTGTTGAGAAATCGAATCATCTGACCTTCACAGTACCATAAATTCAGCCATGATGTGGTGACAGAAGCCTCATAAGTTATTCCTTCCTGTGCCGAACGACCTTGATCTTTTCCTACCATGTGTGTCAGTTCCTATTTACCTCACAGGATCATTAAAATTAGTGGCAGAAAAATAAATGATAGATTTTTTATTAGGAACAGAACTGTAAGAATGAACTCTGACTATGGTATTCTCTTTCTGTTAATATTAATGGTAGCCTTTGTTTTAATACTTATTTTAATACAAAATAAATAATTTTATAAAGTTAATTAGTGCCACATTTAGGTAATTATAAATGTTATTCCATGTTTTACCTTGCACTGGTTGTTATCCTAGATTTGTTCTGTTTTCATTTCTCTCACTTTTTCTAAAATAAGCAGATTTTTTAAATAGAAAGAGAATGTATTAATTGGTAAATCTAAAAAAATCCCACATTTAGATGAAAGTGCATTAAAACAAAGAAATAATCAAAACGTGATTTTTTTTTTATCTTTCAATTTCCCTTATTTCTTTTTAAAGCCAGTCGAGTGTTTATAATATTAATGTTAATGTGAGATACCATTGTTTCGTGCAGTTTTGTTTTCTGCATTCAGACTGTAGCTTTTGTTGATTATTGTTCTGCCTTGTGGAGAAAAGCAGCAGTGGGCTGGCCGTCGAGGTCCCAGCTTGTGTTTAAGTGGCTGTCAGGAGCAGAGACGGCAGTCATGTAGCCGGTGTCATTCAAGTCGATTTCCCTGGACGTGGCTCTGGTGGATTTGATTACTTCTTTTGTAATTGGCAGGCACTGAGGCGTAAGGGACACGGGGGTGTCTACAGCCAAGTGCTTGTGCGCTGAATGAGAATTTGTTGATGTGTGTGTTTTGAGTTTGCAGACCGAGACAGTAATGGATTCTCATTAGTATGTGAGGCAGCAGCTTAAAACATCTCTGTCCAAGAAGCCCTTTGGCATCCTTCCCAGTTGATGTGTGTTTGTTTATCGTAGAGAAGTAGGCAACGGTTTATAATCGTCGTGTAGACTTCAGAGGCAGTTTCGTCTGATGAGTTCAAGGTGTCACCAGTAGCCATCTGAGTCGCTTTTGAAAGTTGAGTCACATTTCCTTTGTTGCAGACTCTCAATTTGGAGCTGCTGTCAAATTGGCATTAGATTGCAAAGTGTGAGCCAGCATCAGGATGTTAATATGAAAATCTGATGGACTCACCACATGTTTGTGTCACGGCGTGTGTGTGTGTGTGTGAAGGCAGAAAACAGTCCAATGGAAATACACAGATGACTTTAGACTTGGTGGTGGTCAACGAAGTTAGGGCATGTTGTTATAAAGTTACTCCTGCACAAACACAAACACACACACACACACTGGGTATTTGTGTAGTATAACCACAGGCGGTGCTGACTGTCCGCTAACTTTAGTCACGGTGCACTTGAAAGCAGCACAGTGTGCCTCAAACCATAGGCCCAGATTAACAGTGTGAAGCAAGGCAAGCTGTGTGGGTGCTTCTGTGGTTGACACACATTACATTTTCCCTTAGCCTGAACCCAAATGCACACTTTTAGGAACAAAGATGTAGGTGTAACAAAGCCTCAATGCCATTTGCGAAAAGAAGAAAACCGATCTACTGGTTATCAACATGTGTTACTGAGTCAGCCTCGCTGTACGAATGTGCAGCTGTCTTGACAGCGGTGGGTATCGTTGCATTAGTACAGTCGGCGGTTGAGTGAAGCCCCAGCCTGCTTTTCCACACGTCTGGCTGGCATGCTGCCCAGATTCTTGGATTTCACTGTGGTTTTTATCAGGCAGCTAAGAGTAAATATTCTTACTTTAGTTTTTTTAAAGTAGAGTATAGTCTTGGGCGGTATTCAAATTTTTGTACCGTCCAATTTCCTCTACATTTTACCACTGTGTACGGTATTACGTAGACAAATTTAAAAAATGATGACGCAAGCCTCGAGCGGAACTACCGAACTGGTGGTTTGGACCTTCACCGTTCAGGAACTGAATAACAAACACTATTACTAAAACAATAGCAACATAATATTAACAACTCTAAAAGAATGCAGCTTATGTAAAGATTTTTCGCCTGAAAACCCAGCATGTTTACCCTTTCCGGCTTCAACATAGGACATTGTGGACCGACTGCTGAAAACCCGCTTCGATGAGCTTGTAGCACAGACTTACAGGTACTTTTGGGCTAGTCGTGACAGCTGGGGGAAGGAAGGCAACATATTTTCCAACAGAAAAGTGCATTGTTGTCTCTTCTAATAAGAGGCTCCAAACAGAAGGCTGCTATTTCAGCTCTGGCTAGTTCCTGCGTTGACGGGGTCATCTTTTGATTGCAATAATTTCATCATCAGCGTTTACCGGCTCTCCTTTTAGGTTTGCTTTGAACCCTTACTCCAAAACTGCAGAAGTTGTGTTTTTTTTTAGACACCAAGTCAGTTTGTGCGCAAGCTGCCATTTTCCTCTCGGTGCGTCTCTGCGCTCACGTGGTGACATTACGTTCATAAACTTTATGGAATTTCTCTAAAAGTTGGACAAAACATTAAAAACTATTTAAGTAAAACTGAAAATTCAACCACACATCCATTTTGTACATGAAATGACTTTATTTATTTATTTATATTTTTTTAATCCTTGTCTCCTACTTGCATTGTTTTTTTTTTTTTCTGACAATATTGGAATTTGACACATTGGTATTTTTTAACACCGGCTGTATATGGTAATGCCATCCTAGCAAAGTAGAGTAGATGCTGGAAAAAGCCATTCAAGCCATCTGCATTTTGAAAAATAACAATTCTAATGTCAGTCTCCCGTTTTCTAGCTTGGTGTAACACCTATTCAAATCAATTCAGTTTATTTATATAGCACCAAATCCCAACAAGAGTACACTCAAGGCACTTCACAAAGTAAACGTTCCAATTGAATCTACTCATTAGTGCATTGAGTTCAGTTCATTATGTCAATTAGTTAAAAGTTTCCAATGTAAGACACCCAGTAGAGTGCATCGAGTCCCTGACTTGTTCTGTCAGAAACTTTACAGCAATCCCCATATGAAAGCCTAATTTACACTTCTCCGTCATCTCCGCGAGGGAGACACACACACACACACACACACACACACACACACACACACACACACACACACACACACACACACACACACACACACACACACACACACACTGTCAGAGATGTTTTGCTCTCAGACTCCTCTGTCAGCTGGGGATTGTTGCAAAACAATTTCCCACCAGGACAACAGAGGGCGTAGCACAATTCTTACGTATTTGGTCCTCTTTGGTCCTCAAAAATGTATTTACTGTTGTGTTTACGTTGTTTTAATGAATTTCAGAGACTTTTTAACACGGACAAATTTGTCCCTCATTCCTCTCCACCGCTTCATGCGATCAGCACCAATAAACTCACGTTTCTCATTATTTCCGTCCACAAATAAAACACTTGCTGCATATAATTGTACTCCTTCGTTCACGGGTAAATAAACGTTCATATTTTCATACTTTTCCCACGATGCATTCTTCAATCTGTTCTGTGTCTGCTGCTAAATATCTTTTTATTTTCTGAAGCAACAAAGGCAGTGCTGTTGACAAATTTACAGGAAGTGGCGTACTGACCAGTCTCTGTCTCTTTTGACGGATAGTTAAAAATTGGCACTTGTTTCCATCACCCTCTGCAAACTAGTCAGAGAGCTCTTGTGCCGACACTTAATGGCATTGCGTGTCCCCATCCCAATGCAGACCAAGAAGTGTAAATTAGGCTTAAGCAAGCATGTAGCGACAGAAAAGAGGAAAACTCCCCTTTAGCAGGATTAAACCACCAATAGGACCTGCCTCAGTATGAGCAGTCACAACTTTTCTGCCATAATTCCTAACGGGACATTCTCAATGATTGGATGAGGTGAATGCTTGGCTCCATTCATCTAAAATCATCATCATGTTATTTACCATCTTCTTTAGCATGTAGGTTGTGCAAGATCTCTGCTCTCCTGGAAGCGAGAGGTCAAATTGAATGTGTTTAACACCAATGCATTTCAATATCAGATTTAGTTATAATCCAGCTTAATCATGTCTGTTGTAGTCAGTCGGGACACAAGCATGTTAAAGCCAGGTGGAAATGGGGATTTGTTATTATGATGGAAACATTTTTTCCTCCTTGCTCTTTCAAATTTGTGTTGCAAAGAAACTCAATAGTGATCAAAAGAGAGAAAAAAAGTTTTGTTAATTTGAGGGTTTTTAGCAGTTTTAAGGAAGAATTTCTTGTAGCTTTTAATGCCCAGTTAAACCAAGATCTGAGACTAAAACAACTGTTAAAATGTTTTTCTTCTGATTAAAGGAGGAGGACGTTAGAATGACACCCTGTGGTCAAATTTGAGTACTGCGGTCCACATTTCAAAACAATGGAGGCCTCCATGAGATGTGCTCCCCCTCTTGTACCCGAGTTAGTAAGTTGATTAGTAGAGTTGTTGGTGAATAAAAAACATAGCTTAGAATATTTTAGAGCCGACTATTTGTTTCCAATTCACCGTTAGCATCGTTAGCTCAACATTAGCAGGATTGCAGTGTGACGTACATCTGTCAGGCTTTACAAATCCTAGAGTTTTGCTGTTGATTTTCTATCAGAAGTTAATGCAAGAGATAGGTGCAGGAGTATTTTCATCTTCAGCCTGCATGGCCAACACAGAATGACTGATTATAATCAGAAATCATAGTTTATAAAATGTTTTTTCAGTGTTCCACACCTTCAAAGGTACAAGAACTAACAGCAGGGCTACTACTTTCACAGTCAATTTTAAAGTCAATTTTGTTGTACACTTGTGCAATGACAATAAATTATCTTGAATCTAAAACATCCAGTTCTATATGGACAACATATATATGGACATTCGGTGTATGACATCACAAAAGGAAACATATGGAGCATCAGTTACCAGTTCCTGCTGAATTTCTTTATTTCTAAAATTTGATATTGGAGAAAACAAATGAAAAAGTAAATTGAGCAACAGTTGTATCATTTTTGTAGGTTTTACAGAGAAATTAATGAAAAAAAATTATTATTATTATTATTATTATTATTGTTATTATTATTATAACAATGATGATGATGTTCAAATAAAACCAAACAAACATATCTTCTCTGGCACTCGAGTACAGATGCTTTCTTCTTTTGCTCCCTTATATTTTTTCCCAAGGCTCTTTGTCCTGTCTGCCCATAGAGCGCTTCTCTGCATTTCTTCTGAAAAACTCTATTTTTTACTAACCATGGATTTGATAAACTGGTCATTCAATGTGATCGATAAGATTTTTCCAACAATGAGAACGGAGCAGGGGGCTCCCACATGTCCACAGGGGACGCACCCGGTAAGATATATTTTGGATTCCTGGAAGGAGTAGAAGATCATATGCCTCTTCCAGCTGTCCATTGAGTACATCAAAGACGTGTGGATATTCAGTCTGATGATCACTGGATTTCTCCTGATTGAAGTGGGAAGATATCTGGTTTTCTGAAAATTTGGGAAGACGGGAGCAATTGGAGGGCGACCCGCACCCACGGAAAGCACCGTCCATATGGAGACTTCTCAGACTGGGACGTTACTCGAGGTGAATCGTAAGCTGGACAATGTTCTAGCTGTGATACCGGCATTAGTGCACAAAATGGATGTCATCTCGGAGAGAGTCACCGGACGGTATGGACAGGTTTAAAACCCAAAATTGGCTTCACTGAAGGACTGGAAATAATCAGTTTAAAAACTGAAGGCAGAGAGGAAAATTATCTCAGCCTGACCCAAACAAATTCTTGTTATCTGAATCTGAAGCCCTGGTAGCCTTGAGCTGCAAACAATTAAAACCCCCATGAAGGAATGCAGACAGATGCTGTGAAAACCCCCACCTACCCCAACCTGCCTTCGGATTGGTGGACTTCAGCCTTGCAAGGTTGTCAGCTGGAAGAGTCAATGTGCTCTTCTCTTCTCCCAAGATCTCCCCCCCACCTGTGACCGTACAGTAGATGAGCGCCTTAGATGGCTGCTCTCGCTGGGGAAAACAGGATCCCCCCGCCTTCTTATTGGAGTCTCATGTTGTGAATTGTTGATGTTCGTGCTTATATGTTTGAGGTGTTTTTTTGCATAGCAAAGCTACACCCTGCCAGGAGTAACTCTGGAATGCCTTTTTTTCCCTCCCCCAATTTATCCTCATGTAATCCCCTTTTCATCTAAATGAAATGAGCGCCGTTCATGGCTGCTCTCGTGGTCTGCCTGTATCTGTTTTGTCTACATGTGTGTGTGTGTGTGTGTGTAACCTTGGTCAGGCTGTGCTGCAGAGTCAAATTTCTATGCTTCGGGACGCTGGAGCACTGACAATAAAGCTTTTCTGATTCTGATAAATGTTCTTACCACTATTTAGATGCAAACATGTGTTCTGTATTCTTTGTTTTCCTTTCTCTGTACCCTTTTTGTCTTTCACTCACACACACACACACACACACACACACACACACACACACACACACACACACACACACACACACACACACACACACACACACACACACACACACAAGAGGTGAGTGGCATGCCTTGGAGATACGTTTGCTATCAGATCTTCATCAGGGACAGCTGCACTTTCATCCATCTTGGCAGCCATTTTTTATCATTCCCATCGACTCGCCTCTCCTCCGCTCCCTCTCGGTCATCTTCCTGTCTCAGTCCATTATATCTGAGCCTCTTCAGACACACCGGGGTTATGGAAAGGTTCAAAACATTTTTCTTTTGCTTTGAAAGTCAAGGTTTTCTGGTAAAATGTTCATTTGCTTGCTTTGTACCTTGACAAATGTTAACATAAATTAAATTAACCAAATTCAAAAATGGCCCAAAATGTATTTTATGGGTTTGTTTTGGATTTTTGCTTTGCTTTGGATAAAGGCATAAAACAGGACAGTGCTAATAAATAAATATGGCGCTTTAAGCTGTTGACACATTCTTGACCTAATAGCCTTAATGTGATTATAAACTTAATATTCATTATAAGCTAAATTAGCCTGTCACAACACAATATTTAATACAAAGCATTTAGGAGGAAAGAGGGAAAAATTATGTTTATTTGGTTAAATGTTAAAAGAAAATCTGCATGATTGCGTCAACTATGTAGATATTAAGAACGCACCAATCAGTAAATATGTTTTACACAAAATACTGGAAACTTCATTCATTCATTCATTCATTCATTTACGAAGCACCTTCCTGCTGCCAGTCAAGGCAGCCCAAAGTGCTGAACACAGCAATATAAAACAACAGGCATTAAAATAGAGAACGATACATCCTAACAGTAAAAATTAAAAAGTACTACAGTGAATGCTTTCCTCTGCCTCAGATCAAGATTGTTTTTCTGTGGTTATTTTTGAAGAAAAAAGAATATTTGTTCTGTTTGACGATTGGAAATTTACAAATAAAGTGTTAAAAATGCTGTTTTGTAGGATCAGGTGTGTTTCTGTCCACTTTTATCCTGCTTTTAATTGTATGAGACAGACAATAGTTTTACTTAATAAAACAAACATTTGTTCTCTACAAGCGTTTGAATGCCAACACTGATATCTGCAGGAGTTGTGAAACAATTTGAAGTGTTTGCTGATGAGATGAGTTTTCAATTTGCAGCTGATGATTGAAACTGAAATTCAATCTTGTCTGCAGTGCAAGATCCATTTTAGAAAAATTGGGAACCTATGGAAACCAGAAATAATAATAAAAAACAGTCAGTTTTTGTTTTTTATTTACTGAAACACTAAATGAGGAAGAAACTAAAGCAGCTGAACACGAAATGGCTTTGCGTTTGGAGCCATGCAGCAGGATTAAGTCACACGTTTTAGGTGTCATCGATTCCTTCTACATTACAGTATTGCATCATCAGAAGACATCGGGATCTGCCTTCTACTTTACTCTGTGTTTTGCATCATTGTTGTGATTTCCCAGCAGGGACACAAAAGCCTCTTTTACATTAATAGACAATCTCCAAGGTTTTGGCTGGCCTCTTCCCACTTTTGTTGTATCATACATTAACGGTTATTAGCTTTGATGGGCTCAGAAAAAAAAAACGTTCTTTAGATCAGCGATAATGTGCTGAGGAAGTGGAAGCATATTGGTGTTAGTACTGTGGTGAGAGGAACCCACGGAGACTCCGGATGAGATGATTAATACACTCTTTGATGTCTTACCAGCAAAACTGCTAGCAGGAATAATCCACTTTCAATAGCTCTGACTTGTGTGTGTGTGTGTGTGTGTGTGTGTGTGTGTGTGTGTGTGTGTGTGTGTGCGTGCGTGCGTGTGTGCGTGTTTCTGTCGATTCCAGTGGAGTTCAGGAAATTGGACCTCGCCTCTTTGCAGTCTGTTCGTCAGTTTACCAAGAGCTTCAAGGAGAGGGACCTGCCACTAAATATTTTGATTAATAATGGTGAGTGTGAATAATATGAATCGTTCTTCTAATGTAAAGATGGAGCTCCACTTGAATGTGTTAAGTGTTTGATACATATTTGGTAAAGGTGTCGACATTTTTTGTCCTAAATATTATTGAACACTATTGGCATTAAAATGAAATATTGTGAATGGTCTTTGTTGGTTTTTATTCTAAAAAGGGAAAATCCACTATTTGGAGCCTTTTAGCATGAGAAATACCCAGAAACCCATTTTTGGCTGTATTCATGTATTTTCCTGTTTCCATTGCAAATTCTGAATTTTATTTTGAAATTCCTAAAATGGCTTAATGTTTGGGATTATACGTCTCTCCATCTTTCTGCTCCCAACATCAGGCCCTGCTCCCAATGACGCCACCATGGACGCGCCCTCAAGGGTTGGCCATAGCCACCCCTAGAAAATTGCTGCCCCCCCCCCCCAGCAAAAGCCAGTGTTAATAAATCATATTAATGTTCAGTCAAACCATAAATTGATCTTATTTATTCAAGAAATAATTTCAAAACAAAATAAAAATAATACAATTAACGAGAAAAGAAATAATCAGAATAAAAAAAATACATGTTTCTGCTGCTCACCATTTAAAAAAAAAGTTTTTATCTCCATTTTTTTGTGAACACAGCAACCGGTGAATTAAACTAAAAAAATACATTTTAAAATTAAATTAGAAATAACATTTTAAATAACGGAAATAAATTTTTTTGAAATGTTTGTGTTTATAAAATTTAAGTTAAATGTTTTGGATACGTAGTGTTTTTTTTTAATAAAAATGAATGAAGGAGCAACGCAATACATCGTCACAGGCTAAACTCTCCCAGAGTTACCAGATGGACCAATTTGGTGTGCCACCCCAAAAATTTCTTTGGCCCCTTCTGGCCACCCCTGTCAAAATTTTCTGGAGTTGCCCCTGCTTGTCCCTCCCTGGAATTCTAGTCTCTGGTTTGAAACCTGTTTCCTCTGGCCACCAGGATATGTGGCTTAGGCGACTAGTGCCTTGCAGCAGACTTGGTAGTCTGGTGGTGTGTGCTGGGCTGACATGCAGTTTTGTGCAGGTTCACATCCCGATCAGGATATGCACTTGTCAGTATGATGTTTTCAGTACTTTATTGTTAAACTATTTAAAATATAAGGACTAATATGTTTGTTTTTGTGTTTTTGTGGGGGGTTTTTTTTTTGCTTTCTTTCTTTATTTAGCCAGTGTGAGTCCATGTGAGGTGAGCAGAGTAAATGAACCAAACTGATGCTTAGAAATGACCAAATTGAAAGATGTTTGGAGACACAAAATATTTTTTAGAAAATAATCAATAAAACTAAAATATAAAAACATGAAACTTGCTTCAGCTGGCTAAATAAATTACTGCCGGCACCACCGGGAGTCTAACCCATGTCAGCACATGGCTGAGATGGCAGTCAGACACCTTAACCTCTGGAATATTATATACCAGCTTGCCTAAGAAGCTGTTGTAAACACGTTTTGTCAGAGCGGGCATGAGCAGACTTTCACTGAAACGAAGCATTTTACGTAGGGCTGGACAGTAATTCAATATTGATATATATCATTCGATAGACATGTGGTTCAATAGAAAAAATGGATCATTAAAAACTTGTATTAAAAGTTTCCTTTCTTCATCATTGCCTATCGAGTAGCTTCATACGAGAGTCATTACTTACACCCAAGCACGCTCCGTCTCCAAGCCCTCCCCTTTCAAACCTCATCAGACAGCAATGTGACTTAAACAAGATGTTGCAGCAAGGAGAGGTGCAAGAAGCTGTCCCAAAAAGGTTACATTAGTTCACCAGTGTGGCAATATTTTCATTCTTACAAGTCTGACAAGAAACAATGGTTTGCTGAGAATCAATAAAAACTAAGTCTGGTAACGCAACCAACTTGTTTTTATCATAAAGTAATGACAGAATGGCTAGGGCCGCACTTAAAATGCATTTTCTACAGTTTTCATATAATTTTCAATAATTATTGATATCGATTGATAAAATGTATTTTTTTTAATCGATAGGACATTTTTCTTTATCGTCCAGCCCTTGTATAAATTCAGGCTGACAAAAATAACTCTTATTCAAGATAAATGACATCTCAGTAATGCCAACAATAATATTTTATCATAAACTTCTGCATCTGTCCATACCATGTTGCAGAAGCAACATGTACCGTATGTGTCGATGTATCGAATATTGGTAAAAAGGCCTTCATCGAAACCATCCCTAGTATTCAATAGAAGTTTGAATCTTCTGCAGAGGAGTGTGATTCTAAAGCAGCAACAGTGTAAAATTTGCACGTGTGTGTAGCGGTGTTAAAAGCACTAGACACCCGCTTAGATATTAGAGCTATAAGTTACCTTCACACTCGTTTAATAACATCTGTCGCTGTTCTGGTTGAGTGCATCACTTTTACGCTCTAAAATATCAGTGCAAAATGTAACCTTTATGTAATTTTTTTAAGTTATTTGGTGCAGAGTAAATGCATAAAATCTAAATTGTGTTCATAACGACCAATTTAGTTCAGGCATTTAATTTTTAACGAGCTTCCTGAGATCAGCCTCAGGTCAAACTTCTACGTTGGGTCAAAAAAATAAATCCCGTCCACATAGATGTGTAATTATGTGATGCTGAAAGATTCAGTGTGTCCTTTTAAATCTACCAAGGCTGTTTTATTTTTATAAACAACTATTGATTGCAGCTAGTGGGTTATTCGTGCCAACGTGAATGGAGGTTGGTATTGGCTGACTCGTGTAAGTCACGTGGATCTGAAACGGGGCGGGGGGAGTTTTGGTGACTGATGAAGCAAGGACCTCGTAATATATCAAGCATGTGTTTACTCCTGTCTTGCTGAACTCTGTCTGATAACACAGCAACTGATAGGATGGAGCATCACTCTGTCTTTGTCTCTATTGCCAAAGCTCCTAAAGCAGCAATGGACTGTTGGGGTGTTGACAGCAGTTAATGTCTTGTTGAAAACACTTTTTAACCTTTCTGTGCTGTGATGTTTTGTCTAATAAATAAAATTTAATATACATATGAATATGTTTTAGTTTCCTACCTAATGGTTTGTGTGTTCAAGCGGGTGTGATGCTCCTGCCTGAGGGGCGTACGGACGACGGATTTGAGCTGCACTTTGGTGTGAACTATCTTGGCCATTTTCTGCTGACCTGGCTGCTGCTGGACACCCTGAAGGATTCTGGGAAGTGTGGTGACAACTCTTCCGTGGTCAGCGTTTCGTCGTCAGCCCATGGCATCGGGGAGATCAGACTAAATGATCTGAACTGCCGGTAGGTGGTGGCTCCAGTTCTTCAGAACAATTTACAAACTTGTCGTAGTTCTAGAGCATTCTTTTGAGGTGTAATATGCTGTATTGCTTTCTGTCTTCAGCCAACATTATTCAGCTCATGCTGCATATTGTAATAGTAAGCTGGCCCAGCTGTTATTCAGCTCCCACCTCCATCAGGAGCTGCAGCTTGGAGGCTTTCCAGTGATTTCATGCGCTGTGGATCCTGGCATGGTGGACACGGCTCTGTATCACCATCTCTGGACACCTCTCCGTATGGCACAAAGTCTAATCGCCCGCCTTCTTTTTAGGGTAAATCACTGAAGAGCCTGCTCTTTGTATTTAACAGCACAAATAACGATGTACGTTTCTGTCAACGCAGCAAAGTTGTTATGTAAATGTTATCATTTTTTACTTACAAATTAGCGTTTAAGTAATGTTTAAGAGTATGGTAGAATAAATGAGTATAGAATAAAAAATGTTATTGCATTCATTGATTTTATTGTGACAGGACTAGTGTCTGCTGTGTAAGGATAAATGCTTAGAAACGGAGCAGCAGCTGCTAGCGCTAGCAACGCTTGCTATCTCTAGAATTTCACAGGTTGTATTTATGTGGAAATAAACATTACAGAGTCATCTTGTTACATATTTGAAATTATATCGATATTTTAAAAATGTTCCCAGTCCTAACATTTTTTTTTAAGTTTCCTTATTGAATACATTTTATTTTCTCTGCTGCCTTATTGGCCCTGCTCCTTTTGTGTCAACCTCATAATTAGTTGTTTCCTGCGGGCGGGTTGTCCAGTAATTGGAAGGTTGCAGGTTCGATCCCAGCTCCCACCACAGAATGCTGCTGTTGTGTTCTTGGGCAAGACACTTAACCCGCCTTGCCTGATGGTGGCGGTCAGAGCGAACGGTGGCACCAGTGTATGGCAGGCCTTGCCTGAGCCCCAGAGCAGCTGTGGCTACATCGTAGTTCATCCCCACCAGCATGTGAATGGGTGAACGGGTATTGTGAAGCGCCTTGAGGGGCTGTAGAACCCTAAGAAGGTGCTATACAAGTACAGGCTATTTACAAACAGTCCATCCATATAACTGAAAAAGAACTACAAGGGTGCTCCATTGCACTAAAAATAACAGTTTGGAAGCATTTAAGGAGGTAAGTCGGTAGTAAATGTCAGCTGAGACATAAATAAAGTAAATTGCTAAAAACAAAAAAGAGAGAACCGAATCAATAACACAAGCCAGACTGTTTACAAAAACACGGTTTCTGACAGTGATCGGTCAACACTCGGAGGAAGTGATGAATGCAACAGCTGCAGCGTTCCTGTGAGCAAAGCAGCAACTGGTGAGCTGCAACAAGGAACCAAATGTGCCACAAAGTACTATTTTTTTCCCCTCAGAAAGCCGCTATTGGTGGTCTTTTTTTTTCCATCACTAAAAATCTTCCATATGTGGCCAAACAAATAGAAACCTGCCATTTGTCATTCTGATAGATGTGGTCCCCTTGGTGATTCATAGGAGCGACTGATATCCGCCTTCGTAAATAGTCTGGAGTTCTACATGCAAACGCAGCTTCACACAGGTCGGGATCTGTCACTTAATTAAGAAAAATTAAGAAAATTGTGTATCTATTCCTCCTAGACTCCTGCAGAGGGTGCTGCCACAGTTCTGTCAGCTGCTCTGTCACCAGCCCTGAATGGGGACTGCGGAGGAGGCTACTGGGCAAATGGGCGCAGAGAGATGACCACACCGCCATCGTTCAACCCCCAGCTTCAACGAGGCTTATGGGAAGTCAGCATCCAGTTGCTGGGCTTACAGTAGCAGGTGACTTTGAGATGACCAATAGGACTAAAACCGTTTGAAAACATCATGTAAAGACTTCAAACTTGGGTCCACTTTCATCTTCAAGATTTTTGACCTTCTTAAAGCTCGCAACAAAGTGTTGCACCGGACCCATTGGTTGTAGAGGGTCGGACAAGCTACCGTTTGCTCCAGCCATTGCATTGAAGGGCTACAGGGGGGTGGAAGGCAGTTCAATTTTCTTTGAGCAAGCAAACAATACATACAAAATAAATAATAAAATAAAAACGATATGTCAGTCACAGAGAAGGAGGCAGCTGCTGTCCTTTAGTCACAAATCAGAAAGAAGTTTGTGACTTGCGGCTGAATCCCAAGTTTAGTCAGTAAATGTGGTCCACACTGAAATCCGTAGTCGCATTCTTGCTTCAATCACTTGAATGTCATTAGGCGGGCTTTAGGAAAAATACTTCAAAATGTTTTTTACGAAGCAATAACTTAATCAGATATCCAAATTTGGGCTTTACAGATCAACCAAATCACGTGAAATTCAAAATAAATGTGTTGATTTTAACCCAAACATTCAAATAGCAAGATAAAATAAGCTCCAGTCTATACTGCTGTTGCTGTTTGCAACACACATGGTGACACATCATTCAGTCATTTCCTTCATTCCATCCAGCCTGTTTTACTTTAAGCACTTTATTTAGTCTTTCTTCTACTTTTATTGCACATTTATTGTGAAGACATTTAGGACCTATAGGAGGATCTATGAAGACACGCCCCTATATAAGTGGGCTTAGCTATGAGATTATGTCATCATCTCAAGGGCAATGAAACATTTGGGCTTATTTCTGGGAATTTGTAAAAACCCTGGAATATGCAGGTGCATCTGGAGGCTTCCATCTGCTAATAAACAGAAAGGAAAGCCAGAGGAACTATTCTCTTTTTTCTGTGGCCATTTCTCTTCTCTTCTGTGAAAACTTCTGTTACTGTCTGGGCGTTGATGCACACGAGTCAAGAATTAACTCACACGAGCCCCAGATTAAACGGGAAAGCACTTTCTTTATAGCCTGCAAACTGTGACTGGTTACTCATCGCTGCAGCTAATGCTGCTTCCTCATTTGGCACCTCTCCCAGTGCATTGTGGGATTGAGATATCCCAGTGGTGAGATTCAGACGCTATCTGCTAAGCTGACACACCACACACAAAATGCTGGAAGCAGTACATCCAGGAAAAGGCTTATCCAAACAGCAAACAAACATGTCTGTCTCTCGTGGAGGGGCACGCACACACACACACACACACACACACACACACAAGTTCAAAATGCGCCATAACGCCTTTTCCACTGTGACTGATGCATTTTAGCGCTGAAGATCAAATGTTTTTTGGAATTTGACATGTTGAAGCTATGTTTTGGCCAATGAGCATCCAGCCTTTGTCATTATTTGCTGTATATGAAGCAATAGTATCACTGTGTTCACTAATTTAGCTGTCAGAAGAGTGTGAAATGATATACCAGCCTCAAGTTACCCAGGAGTCAAAAATTTGTTTGTCTCTCTTTGTTTATTAATGTTCATTTGAATAATTTTAGATTGTTTGATTCAAAGTTGTTAAGCCTGTTCATCAGCGGGGTTCGGTTCATCATTGGGATGCAACTCACAAAAACTCTCAAGGCTCATCTGAACCATCTATTCTTTTGTAAATGAGGATTACTCTGAATTCAGAGGCGACACATGCTGGCCTTCCTTGTCAGAGCAAAAATCTGGAGTTTTTCTCAGAGGACACCATCTAGAGGTGGAAAATGTATTGCATCTTAAGCCCCTCCCCCTACTTCCACGATTATGTCCGGAATGCGCACCTCTAGCCTGCCAACAGAGCTAAAACACATCATTTTACAATTATTATTCTCACGTTACGTTGTTTATTCATAAATATATTTTAAAGGTGTGGTTGACTGAGTAAACATTTTAAAATGATTCTTTCTAGTTCTAATCGGTCACTCTGAGACTTTCATGCAGGCTGAACATGGAAACGCTCTTCGACACCCATCTCCTGCGTTAGCTACTGATAGAAAACAGATGGTCCTGCTGTTTTCAGTCCACCTCTGCACCTAGAAAAATCTGCATCTCAGAGCAAGAGCATGGCTTTTTTTTAAAATGACTAATAAGGCATTGATATACACCAGAGAACACTGCAAATGTATTGATTGTCCATAAGAAACGTCGCCAACTCTGCATCCGTTAAGGTACTTCCGCAAATGCTCGTGCACGCTCTGCGATTGGCATTCGCACATAAGCGGGTATCCAAAGCCTGGGTCACGCCACGCCCATGCAGTCATTTTAAAAAGAAGCCATTCTAGTTACTGAGAGCGGCTACATGTGGAGCGCAGCGCCACGTCCCAGAACACCGGTCCGTGTCACTCCGCCGAAGATAGGCACTCGTTCTGTTTCTGTGGTGCAGCTGTTAATGACATTGTGGGCTACTTTACAACATGTACTACGACGTGAAACGGCACTACAGCACAAACCTACCCGCCAAAACACGGACGAGGAGCTTATGAATGCTACTTGACTATAGTATTGATAAGTTTAAAGTACTATTGATCTTAAAATATTGTACTAAACAGCATACTTATCCATTTTGAAGCCTCACAAAACACGACGGGAGGTCTGATCACATAAAAACAAAAAAGTCACTTCCTGTTCTCAAGTCCCACGTGATGTTGTGACTATAGAGCGATTTTCCAAGAACCGCTCAGCGGCAGAGCGAGTCCTGTGTAACCATTTGGCTTCCTAACACCGGTGCATCGGTCTTCTGTTCCCTGGGCTTAGCTCTATTGGCTAAAGCTGAGTCGAGGTCAATTCAAAATGCATGGGGCTCTACGGGGCGGGGGCGGGCTTAGAAAAAAAAATCACATATTGCCTGCATTATATCACAGTACAGGCTAAGTCCATCGCTTTTAAGGATTTCTAAAAAAAAAAAAACATCATAATTCCTGAAAGGGGAAACTGGATTGCTGCTCTAACTTGTAAGGACAGCTGAGGTCAGAGATTTGGGATTTATTACCTTTTTGTAGGGATTCCTCCAATGAATTCTGTAGGAATTTAAATTCTGAATGAGAAACTTTGGCTAAGATGAACATGGTGATACATACCGTATATAGAAATAGACAAACCTGCTTAGTTACAAAACAGAAATGCAAGCAGTTCAGATAAATTATTTTTTTACTTGATAATTTGAGTGAAATTAGTTAGCTGGTTAGTTTTTTTGTTAATGTGAATGGTATTTTTCCAATTAAGGGCACGGGATTGTTTCTGTTAACTGGGAAACAAATGAAGCTCAGAAGACTTCTGATATCACCATCAGCTTTAGTTTCTGAACAAACTGGGACATTTAGACTTTTCATTTAAAGCAAACAATCCATTAGTTGGATGTTTTCTTAGATTTGTGTGAGCTGACTCTTAAATGCCAGCAATATTTTTCAGTTTTAATGACTGAGTTTTGTTTTCTGCTTTTTTCATTGTTTCCACCATATTCAAATAGTGTGTGTGTGTGTGTGTTTGCTTCTCTGTTTGAGCCTGTCTCCCTTAAGCTACTGTAAGTTACTAAGTAAATAACAAGCTACCAATTATATTCCCAGTCAAACAAATGTGCTCGTTTCCTGTGACACTAAATGAAAACACCAGTTTACTGTTCAGCAAGGCGAAGTGTGTGCTACATCCTGTCAAGAGCTGCTTGTTTTTTCTCAGTCCAGCTGCTGAAGTGGGAGTGTTTGAACAAAAGGAGACCAAGAGAACTCGCATTTGTGCACAAGGTTATCCAAAGACAGGGCGTTCTTGTTGCATTAGCATGCAGACGTGTTCTACTCAGACGGGATTACGCGTTGAACTTTCTGAACTCGAACTGCAAAATCCAGTAAAAGAGCTAAACGGCTCGATCAGCTGTCAGTGATGTTGTCTTAATGTGATTAACCTGTTCGTTTTGAAGCATCAACGGAGACCAGTGGAGATGTATGTACACTGAATTTGCTTTAGTAGCCATTCCTCTTGACTGACTTGGGATTACATTTATATTAAATGTGCCAGTCCCGTGTTCTGCAAAACCGCAAATGTGTGTATATACATGAAGAGCTGATGAGAAACTATGTACAGAGGCGACCTGATGACCTGAGTCCTTATGGTACGATTCCAGTTCAAAGGAATAAAAAGGTATATTTTGATGCATTCGAAGCGCACGCTGTCGAGTCTACGGGTGATAAAAATAACCTTTCCACAGATCCACTGTAAATACTCAGTCCATCAGAGCCTCTGAGTAAAATGTTTTCATATTTTCCTGTTGGTACAAATGCACATCTGACTGCTTTTGCTGTGCCTAAGAAGAAAATCTCCCTCATCTATGTGACTGTGAACTTTCTTCATGTAAAAATCAACACGTAGGAACTGTGGTGCCGTCGGGTCTTGTGTAATGTTGTGTTTTCTCATAAGAATGGTTCGATTCCGAGTGTGTGTGCGCGTGTTTTAGGTAATGAGTTTGATGTCTATGTTTTCTGTAACATTCCAGCAACGGCTACCACCTTTTTTTTTTACTATCCAAAGCCTCTCAATAAACATATCATTGTGCCACTTGCCCTGCGTCTTCTTGCGCCGGCTCAGCGAGAATATGTCAACCTGATTAATCTCAGTATGAGACATCACGCCTCTGGCTATGTCTGAACTTTGGAGACATCCTCAGATCCTTCAGTGAAACACACATTTTTACGTCCCTCAGCTCGACTAGGTGTATGATGGTTAAGGAGGGAGTAAAGAAAATGAATTGTGAAAAGAAAAAACCAAATTAAATCTCTTAAAGGGAGTTTATTTAAGAAAACATCTCTCTGGGCTGGAAGGAATAAATATAATTAATACAAAAACACAAATGGTCATCCAGAACTGGGGAATAAACAAAACGAGCTCTAATAAACACAAAGCACAAGCGCATAAGGTTGGGTGAAAACTACAACTAATGCAAAAAGCTTCACCAAAAGGGTGAGCCGAGTCTCTCTTTAACGAGGACGATACTAACTAGACAAACAAACGAAGGTGTTTCACTAGAACAGATCAAAATCACTCAGGTAACCACAAGCTAAGCTAAAGTCTACCCAAAGGAGGGAGAGAGAGGAGAACACCCCCCCTTGCCAGGTGTTTTTTTTTTAAACAGGGAGCACCTTGATTAGAATTACAGCTGTGCAGGTAGCATGCTGAGGCCATCTAGTGGCCACAAACAGACATGGTATGTTGCGCACATAAATCCACAATATCTTTCCATCATTTTAAAGATGACTTGGAAACATCTGATGTTCTTCGTTAGGAATTCATGTATCCTCAACTATTAGAAAAACATGTAGATGCACTAGACATTTATGATGTTTCTCTTTTTTTTATTTTGCACAAATGACTTTTAACCAAACAAACTTCATTAGACATTTAGCATGACCAACATGCTTCTCTTTAATCTTAGAAATGACAATACCTCACGGGTGCTTTTAACGTTTTTCGCACAAGATGCTTTTTTTATTTGCAGACCAGAATATCTTTGCCACAAAGAGCTGGTGGTATGTCAAAGTGCATCCACACAAATGCTACGACCCAAGGTTTCCCAGCAGAACATTGCCCAGAGCAACGCACACCCCACCAGCTTGCTTTCTTTCCATAAAAATCCTCCTGCTGTCATTTGCTCTTCAGATTAATGACTCACACACACACACCCAGCTGTCCGTGTGATTTAAAAGGAAACAATATTTCCCCCCAAAAGAAGACCCATGTCTTCCATTTGTGGCTCTGCTGCATTCGTGGCTTCTCTAAATGCTGTCAGTGGTGGACGAGGGTCGGCGTGGACAGACTGACTGGCCTCTTGTTTGCCTCAGCAAGGATTGCAATTTATTTTTATCAAGAAACACCACAGAGCAAATATTTAACTCCACTGTGACAAAAATTTAGTTTTCACACATTTGTTTTGCTTTCAAATACCTTCACATCTTAAAGGCACACTTAGCAGTTTTGCTTGCTTTTAGCATCCCCTGGTGTAGCATCCTCCTTAGTAATTCTGCGGTCAAAGCAAAATTGAAACCTATCTCCTCTCTGTGGAGTTGTCTTCTTAACACTTTTATCTAACAGCTGAAACGTCTCCCCAGCCTTCATTAGCGTCTACAAGAGCGATTAATCACTAAATGAAACAAATCAGCTGTGGTCATGATCTAAAACAAGCAGCTAATGTGCTGAAAGCACACTGATTTGCCACATATAACAGGTGCTGGACTGGCATTCTGAAGTTGTAAATGCAGTACTCTGGCCACAAAAGGCAGTAGGGGTCTGAGTGACATTTCATTAACCCTGTAAAGGGCCATTTTGGCACATACTGTGTTAAGAAAATGATTTAAAAATATGAAAAAGATGCATAGCATTCCTTTAATACAAACATTCTAGTTAAAGAGTAGGTCATCCCTACCAGATTCTTACTCAGCTCCCACTTCCTGTTTGAAAAGTACAACAAATGCTGTTGCCTAGCAGATCAAGAGGGCGGAGCCGCTAACAAATACACACACACACACACACACACACACACACACACACACACACACAGGCTCACAACAACATTGTGACATCATATGGTACCAGCTAATGTTCTAGGGTACCTCTTAGCCAATAGCGATGGCAGATCTAAATTCAAATGCAGTGCAGAGTTTTTACCTGACAACGGCACAACACTGAAAGTTTTAGGCAGAAAATTAAAATTTTAACCAAAATCCACTAAAGTGCAAAACTATTGACTACACGCGTCCGCAGCATGATTAGACACGGATTTATATAGTTTATCAGAAAACAAAAGTTGATTTGGGGGTGACTTGCTCTTTAAGCCAGATGCAAAAATAATTTTTGGACCAAAACAAAATTTTTAATGAGAATCAATCAATCCAACCATTATTTATCGTAACATAACCTTAGCTGAGATAAAACAATCTTTTTCAGGGGTTCCAGGCCATGACAAGCAGCAAAACCAGTGTCTACACATTCTAGAAATGCATAAAGAACATAAAATAATAGACGTCATCTCCAGGAACCTTGTTTTTGATGCAAGTCTGGAGAAATGAAGGTAAGAGTCCTAGAAAAGAAGACGGGCCATGTTTGAGTCTTTGCAGAGGCTAATAACCCACTCTTATAGTGGCGTTTGTAAGCTTCTTGTTGTAAATCTAAATATCACTATAATCCACATGGACATTTAGGTGGCTACGACTAGCCTCCATCCCATCAGGATGATAAAGAAAAGTAGACACAAAACCCTGGCTGTAGGTCCGATCCTTTAAGCAATGCCTTTCAGTCAGTTAATGGTCAATTAATGTACCTAGGTATTTGAATGATAATAATTTTGCCCTGGCAATTTTTTGTGCATTATAATTAATATAAGTATAAACCGGCATTGCCCAAGTACTGATCGCTGGGGCACACCCTTTCTTATATTTCAGGGTTAGATGGTGCATCCTTCTCCCTGAGTTCTATAAATGAATCAATTATAAAATCAACTTCCTCCAAGCCTCATCGTAGGTTTCACTCTGACAGCATTCGTCTTTATCTAAATGCAAAGACACCTCAGAAAGGTTGCATGTTGGAAAGCGCAAACACAAAGACTCCCTCCCTGCGCTGCTCCCCACTGTGCTCATAAACACTACCCCCCTCCAAAAAGAGCATGGCATCTGTCGCTCTGCGTAGATGATGTTGACTTTCAGGTGGCATGAAGGAGACATCTGTCATCTTAAAAAGAATCCAGGGACGAATCACAACCCTGGAGAAAAGTAGGGCATCTCAGCTAGGTGCATTTAAGTGGCAGGTGATAAGAGTTGCATCATGTATGTGTCTGCTTGTTAGAATGTCTCTTTGACGTAATAGGGGAGACGGGTTGCTGTCTTGTCATGTCTGATACGAGGACCTGCAGCTTGACTACACTTAACCATCAGAAAGAAGGCAGAACGACAACACAGGTATCCTCATTTATGCCTTTTTTAATTATTACTTATGTATTTTTAACTGATTGTAGCTTTTTTTTAAAGTGTGATCCTCAGTGACATTAACACACTTAATAGGTTCTTAGTCCAGCATTAGGTTGAGCTGCCATCTGCACGAGTTCCTTATGGATGTTTAATGAGCTCATTGGATGCAATTCTTGTGAACTAGGAAGTTGATGATAAGCATTCATTCATGTGATTACTGCCAAATGGATGAGAATACACCATCGCTCAGAGCTGTTTTAAAGTTCAGTTCACTTCATTTTAACGGATAAAGCATGGAATCATTCCACGAGTCATCCCAAACTGATTAAATGCAAATAAATCTGACAATTCCTTGAGAACAACTCCAGAGTCGGATTTATTAATGAAGGCAGAGATTTGACAACAGAGGGAACAACGTTTTCCCTCACTGACTAGATTATTAACAAACCAGACATGATTTTTGTTTATTTTCTGGTTTTAATATTTAATAGTGGAACCATTTCTCCTTAAAGTAGAGAAAGTGGAGCCTGGCAAGTTATCCAATGTGAATATATAGTCTGGCCACGACCCATAGACAGAGCTCAGTCGTGGGGCAGAATCTACTGTTGAATTTAAACCGTCTCTGCATGCTTCTGGACAATGAATACTCACCACTACAAATGTCAGTCAATGAGGCAGTTCGCCGTACATCGTCAAAGAAGACGCAAGTACATTCTTGTTCTAAAGAAAGGACTTAAGTACCTCCATCTGCTCTTGACTCAAAGCAAAGCCCAAGTCTAAATAGTCTAAAGATGATGTTCATATGGAACGTGGCTAGACTCACCTGCATCCAGTCTGTCTAGATGGGGTTTTTTTAGAGCCAAAGTAGAAGTTTATTAAAATAGAAGCTCATACCATAACATACCATTTAATTTGTATCGCATGTTTCAAATACAGCATGAGAGCTGTCCAAAGTGCTGCATAGGCAGATACAACAAACTAATTGCCATTAAACAAATATAAAAAACACTAAAAGCATAGGTAAAACAGCTAAATTGAGACAGATACACAGAAATAAAAAACAGAAATTGAAAACACTAAATGCACAGATTAGACAACAGATAAAGTATCCAACAAGTCCCAAGATAAAAGCCAACCCATAAAAGTGGGGTTTAAACGAGGTTAAGGCCATGTCCACATGTAGCCGGGGATCTGCCAAAACGTAGATATTTTCCTACGTTTTGGCCTGTCATCCACACAAAAACGGAGTTTCTTCACACGAAAACTGATCTTTTTAAAAACTCCGGCCAAAGTGAAGATCTGCGTTTTCTCCGTTTTGGGTGTCTGCGTGAGGAGGAACAAAACCGGAGTTTTAAGGTCTGCAACGTCACTTTCCGCGACAAAAAAATGCTGACATCACGTGTGCGACCTGTGTTTACACTAGCCGACAGCATGGATGCCCTCAGAGCTGCGCTCGCTTTATCAATTGTCCAAGCGCTTTTTGCTTGTTTGTTTTTGCAAGCGGAATTACTGCTCCTTGCGGAAGACCACAGACGAAGGACGAGGTTAAGAACGGGGGAAGTACTGCCGCCTACAGGTCTGGCATGTCCTTAACAACGTATTTAT